TCTCGATGGAATTCTCTACTTATTTCGTTCTTGTATATAAATCCTTTGATGTCTTCACCATATTCCAGAAAAATTCCCAAAGTATTTTTAACATTTCACTTTAATATTTTCTCCTTTTGGGTATCTGACCTGAACAAAAATATTTAAAATTATTCATATTTACTTCTTTTTGAAACCATAATTCATAGGGAGTCTTATTTTTCTCTGAGCTTGTCCCTGTTCGATTCAAAAGGTACGATGCATTGTTAACAGCCTCTGCCCAAAAATGTTTCTCTATTTTCTGTCCTTGAATCATGGTACAGGCTGCTTCAACTGGGGTTCTGTTTTTACAATTCTGATACGGGGTATAAACCACTGATCTTTGATGACAGATACCTTTTGATTCTAATAATTCTTTATTTATAAATTCCAAACTGTTGTCAGATCTCAAAATTTTCATTCTATATCCCGTTTCTCTCTCTGCCAAATAAATAAAATTTTCTATATTTTTCTCTACTTCCGATTTCTGTTTCATGAAATACAAATATTTGTAGCTTGGGCAATAAAAAATAACGAGCTCCTGCTCCATAGGACCACATATAGTCCGTTGCATGGTTCTTAACCTAAGGCTACTGAATAGACAGAGGGGACAATGGGCTATTGATGCGTTGTCATATCGATTATATTTATTAATACATGAAAATTGCAATAAAATTTCGTTCATTTTCAAGTAATAATAAATATTATTATTGATATGACAACGCAGCAATAGCCCATTGTTCTTTCTGTCTATTCAGTACTCGTAGCTCAAGAACCATGCAACGGACTATACATCACTATGCAATAGCTCCAAAGGTTTAGTTGCTCTTGATTTGCTATGTTTGAAAGACAATCATCGGTCAAGGTTCCCAAAGTTCATAAGTTGTCTGGTAATGGGTTACTTGACGACGCATCTAGGGTGCCTCTTATGGAGATTTGCATTATATGACGTCATAAAAGTTATCAGGCAACCTCATTTTAAACATCTTTGATCATCGGTGTTGCTTGCCTGTTGAACATTGTTCGCCCACAAAATTCTCATCAAGAAAATCATTATGGTTTTAAAACTGTCTAACATAACTTACATTTTGATGTACTAATCTTGAATGCCATGTACTATACTTAAACTTTCTATTATTTTGTCGATGCTTCTCTCAGAAATTAGTAAATCATTTACTTCTGTTTCATACTTTAGACCTTTACTTTCGGTCACAATTTCCACGCTTTGCTTCAGAATTGAAAAATTTGCAACAAAATTGGATTGTTTTCGGATACAAAATACATTCAATAAAGTTTGTTGTCTCGAGGGGTAAATCAATCATGGAAATTACTGTACACTTTGCTGGGAATACTTCGGGAATACCTAGGAATACTTGGTAATATTCTGGGTATACCAAGGAATGCTTGAAAATCCTTGGGAATACTCAGAAAGTATATGGAAATACTCTGGAAGTACATGGGAATAATTTGGAAATAGATAAAATAGCTTCAAAATAAGGTATCACTCGACCCCCCATTCCATTTAAAATTTTGGGGGCCCTTGTCACCCTCGCTAGGGCTTTGCCCCCCAGGGGGTGAAAATGCCAAAAAAATGGTTCCCCCTTAAATCAAAAATCGACGGGTACGAGGGTTTTTTCTTAAATGTCTTGGGGAGCCCAAAATCACCTCTGTTTCGTTTTCAATTGGCCACCCTGTATATGTACCTATGTAAAGATCCTACCAAATCTTTTTTTTTTTTTTGCTCAACACTTATGGGAAATATGATGTTCATGGTGTTCAGCACAGTTGATAGTAGTTCTTCTTCTACTTCATTAATATATTCCTTCACCACCTTATCCTCCTACCTTTCCCTCTTGTTCCAAATACAAAGATTCTTATTGTGGATCATAGGATGTCATAAAAAACGGCAGCACTGTATATCGTTTTCATATCGTTTTAGACATCTTGAATTGGTTTTTAAAGGGCCAACTTGGTGTATCTTTCACCCTCCGCGCGGTTCTAAGGATATAATTACCGACCATATTTGCTGTATACAATACAATGTTAATTTCAGGTGGAACATATGTTCCAGTTAGCCAAACTATATTTGTTCCAGTTGCCTCTGTACCTATTTTTGCCGGGGCAACTGGAACCCAAGCTGTGTTTCCGTTACTTGAAATTCTAAGCTGAGAACAAAACTGGCTTACTTTCACAACATCTTTCTCTTACGGTTAAACATGCTCAATGCAATAATATTCACTGTAATCACTAATGATTGATTAAAATCCAAACTTCTGTCACTTGTTATAATATACTTTGTAAAAGTAACAAATTTTTATTTCTCCTAGAAACTATTCCGGCATCGTTTTCTACTCGGTTTTCTATGTGTGGGAAATTCAAATTTCAATATTATATGCCAAAAACTGACATATTGCCCAGTTACTTCGGTGTTCCAGTTGACCAAGGGTTGACCTTACTTGGAAATACTGTCCAAATTTGAGAAGCATTCCCAAAACTGGAAATCACTGTACGTTTTTTCGTGAGTGGTTGACCCCTCGTGAAGCTCGTATCTCCGCATTTTTATTAACAAATTTACACTTTTCATTATTGGAGAATATGGTGTAGCCCTTATCTAAGGCACATCCAGCAGAAAACAAATTTAATTAAAAATCTGGAACACACAACACATTAGTCAGCCATCAAATGCCCACAAGATAACTTTTTGTACTCCTTTAACTGGTAGTTTTTCACCATTCCTTACTTTGACTTGTTTTTCCATTTTTGTTTCCATTAAAACTTTTTCATCAGCACATATTATGTTCGCTGGCTCCTGTGTCTAAGCACCATAGTCGTTCCATTTTTAATTCTTTCACTAAATACCATAAATGCATTTGTCTCGTTTTGATTTTTCATCATCTTTCTCTGTCCTTTTCGTACTGCGTTTATTTTCTTCTTTATGTTTTCTAAACCATCAACACTCTTTAAATTCATGCAATATGTACATTGTTTTGTCGTTTTCGAGTATTTATTCTCTTTAAAATTCTCTGTGTTTAAAATTTCTTTCTTTTCTAAAAAACAAAAATAGCTATATGCCAGACTTATGGCACTTTGACTTAACCTTCTCTTTTCCAGGAACATTTATGTTCTTTGCTACTAAAGCAGTGCTTCCTTCTGTAAACTTGTTTCTTTCCTCTTCAATACACTTGAGTCTTGAGGTTGATTTTTCAAGTGTTTCTTTTTACGATGGAACTGATTCCCATGCTGGTCGAAAATGTTTACATTCCTCTGGCAATGCCTCTATAAGATCTTTGTCATTCATTATCATTTTGTCTGATAATTGTTCACCGACTTGCAGTAACTTGTTCTTTATTTCTCAAGTCTTGAGATAAACGAGGAAACCCTACCGCTGCCAAAATCCAACATAAAAACTCTTGTTGCAACAAGTGAATACTCACTTCAGATTCTTTGTCATACACCAACTTTAATTTGATGTATCACAGCTTAAAATACGAGTTAAAGGTCCTTATTCCCTCCTTGTCCCCAATAACTTCTTATGCTTTTGCATCTTGAAATTCCCATTTCTTTTGTTCATTACCTTGTGCTGTTAGCCTTAACTCTGTTCTTGATACTATATCAAAATACCCCAAATTTCGAGACTACTCCTAGTTATCTCAATAAACTTTAAAGTACATAGCTGCTCAATTTTCCATTTTTTCAGTTTATTTCCTAATCCGGAAATGTTTTTTTCCATTTTCTTTTTACTCGTCTTTTACAGGCCCAACTCCCTTCGATTTAAGTGACCTGGGCGCCTGGGCCCATAGCCTTTTGCTCGAAGGTCAATATGGATTAATAATCGACGAATAACGGGTTGTTTTTCGAGGTCCTTTTTTTTGAAAAATGTATTCATCGCAAAGAGTTGCTCTTTTTCTAAGGAATTGATTAGCATGTTGCCTCTTTCATATCTTGTACCATGTCCGAATTTGCCAATGTAACATAACTAGTATGTACTTTGTTTTGTTCTCGTGCAGACACTGTGTTACCTCTTCATAAAACCTCTTGGCCCTAGTGGTCGATTGTTGATGCGTACATTTGGATGACTTTGATTCTTGTTGGTTTTCATCAATGTTATATATATCACCCTGTCAGATTTGCCCTTGAGTATTTGTAGGCATGGGACCATTCGTTAAGTTTTGTGTATCAGGATTCCAACTGCTCCATCACTGCTATTATCTTCACGTTTGTAGAATAGGACGTGATTTGATTTAAGTCTTAGACATTCGTTTCCACTTTTTCTGACTTCTGTCAGTCCTATACTAAGTATGTCCCAATTTATTCTATAACGATTCTATCAAGTTGGTAATTTCATCTTTCAAGGTTCTTGCGTTGTATGTTCTGATATAGTTGACAGCCTGGTCCACTCCAGGCATTCTTAGTGACGTTTTCAGTTACTTTGACTCGAGGTTGCTAAAGTTAACCAACCTCTCTCAAACAACCTTGACTTCAACTGACGTTTTTTTAAACTTCCCTGTGCCATTAGGCATCTAATAATCAAACAACAATCAAACTAAACGATTTTGGAACCATAGTATCCACCATTTGCCTCAATTACTCGTTGAAAATCGTTATAATTCAACTAGATCAAAAATTGTCCAGTTGAGTGACTGTTAATTGGATCATTATTATTGTCAACCTGTGCAGTACCCAGTACTGCTCATCATGCGTGATACCTGATGAATTCTATCTGAATAATTATCGCAAAAGTACTGTTATTAACTAACAACAGTACCTATCTACTTACGTTTAAATAAGGTCAATTAACATGTTTGTTGTACTTTGGCATTGTGTAATTTTTGCACTTTTTACTAATTCTAGGCACTAAAATTGACATGTTTTCATCATTTAATTGAAATAAACTCAGTGCTGCCAACTGTCGGGCCCTTATAATCTTGCCTCCTCATTACCAACCCCACCAATAATTACAGTTTCCTTCTTTTCTGTTTCAGCAAGAGTATCTGATGAATTTCGGTTACATGAAGCGGTCGTCGGACGGCGCTTTCGCCATGAGAACCGAAGAATCGATACGACAATCCATAAGCGAAATGCAGGCCTTCGCCGGGATTCCCGTAACCGGAAAACTCGACGAGAAAACCGTGAAGCTAATGAAAACCCCTAGGTAAGTCTAATAGATGGCGCCACACTTGTTTACATTTTTTTTTTTTTTTCATTCGCCATTTTATCAATAATTTATTTACTTCCAGATGTGGCTTACCAGATAAGGAAATTGGGCTTACTTCGGGCAGACGGAAAAGATACACGATTCACGGTTTGAAGTGGCCTTATACGGATTTAACTTGGAGGTAAGTCAGAAAAAATTTAAAAAAAAAGTTTCGCCCGAGCAGGGACTTGAACCCTGGACCCTTGGATTAAAAGTCCAATGCTCTACCGACTGAGCTACCCGGGCTGATATTAACTAATTAACAAATGCTCTATTATAAGCTGCCATTCTTTTTTGATATTATAATAATAATAATACAATTTTAATATTATAAATATTATGTTACAATTACAATTATTATAATTATTGTAACACTACAGACAGTTTTACATTATAAAAAGTACCATGCAAGTCAAGTAAGATGAACCTCCTATTCCTGTAGCCTGTAGATAACAATATGAGGTTTAATTAATTTTTATAATAATTATAATTAATTATTAAATATTTTCTGCAAACAGGCAATACAAAATTGAATCAAATTAACTTCTTTAAAAGCCCTCCTATACATATATATAAATGCTGCTATAACAGTCAAAATTCAAAAATTTGAATTTTTTTGATTTTGGTGTTGCTATCTATGGCTTCAACCTAGTACTGATAATTGGCCCTTATCTCATCCACCAAATTGTCTAGATGTAAAATCAGATCAGGAATTTATGAATAATTTCATTATTTATGGACTACTTATTACATTATTCCTATTCAAAAACTATTCGTTAGCCATATGCCCTTTTCCCTATATTACAGATGGTCTAGTCTGGCTGTTGCGGTTTTTTCCAAAACAAAAAACCATAGCTCTGTTCCAACAGACATGAGAGACACGTCATGCTGTAAAGAAAGTGAAGTAAAAAGATACAACTAACTGTTTCTCACCGCTTGTCAAAACGGTACAACCCTATATTCAAAATATCGGTACTAAACGATAAGGACAAGAATTTTCTTTTTACTTTACTATATTTATAGCATGTGTCAACAACAAAAACGAACCTACGTCTTTTCACTTTCCCTAATAGCACAAAATATTCAGAGAATGTTCCAGCAAAGTCCTGCGAAAGTTTGAATGTCCTAGACTTTGAAGGAATGTTCCTGGAATATCTTTCCAGGTATGTTCACAGAATATTTTATCAGTATATTCATTGAATGTTCTAGGAAAGTCAAGGTTTTTTTAGACATTAAAATGAATGTTCAAGGAATATTTCTGCAGGAGGTTCAGTCTTATGCACGGAGTTTGTAAAAAAAAATTGAATAGATGTTTTTTTTTTTCAAATTATAATGATAAAAATAGCGCAAATTAAACTCAATACATTTTTGGTTCAATTTTATCAATTACATAATTAGTAAAATCCACATTAGAGTCAGGAAATCCAAAAAATATTCTCTGAATGTATACAGAACATACGAAGATATTCGGTGAATGTTCAATAAAATGTTCACAGAACATTCAAAATGCTGACAAAGGCTTTTCCCTGAATGTTCCTGGAATGTCTTAGAACATGTCCAAAATGTATGTTCTGCGAATGTACATGGAATGTTATGTGCTATTAGGGTTATTGCCTATTATGGCAAGTTATTTCGACTCTACTATAGAACGGTAATTTCCAGTCGAACAATTAACTTGTCAATTAGGATAAACGTTCAACTTATTGGTGGGCAACTGGAAATTACTGGTTTTGGAACGGTTATCATGTCTGTTGGAACAGAGCTTATATAAATGAAAAAAATCGCATTGAAACTGATCAAAAGGGTCGTTCAACCCTTATAAATAGGGAGGGTGATGAAAATTTTATTTGTCTCTATTAACCGGCTAGTTTTCCAACGTCGGAACACAAATACCTAGTCGAGTACAAAGGGATCTCGTTGATTATTAATGAGAAAGAAAAACGAACTTTTTGTAGAATGTATAGTAATTTTCGCTGTTGCAATAATTCAATTGGGATTCGTTGATTTTTGTAATAGATGGACTCTCTATATGTCTTTTTTTACCTTGCTATAGTGGCTATATACAGAGTCTTTGAGTCTCTAAAAGTGCTCTAAGATTGAGGATTCATAGCTGCATTTTCCTAATAGTACCTATTAGGCAATTCAAACCACGTGACATTCAAGATGGCGTGGCGGCCACACATGGACCAAAAAACACAAAAAAGTATCTAGTTTCCGCCTGATTTAATAGTTTCGGTACATAGTCAATAGATATTTTATTAAATAATCAAAATCAAGGTTGCAAGCGAAACTCCAATTAAAATAATTTAAAATACGCATAAAAACATATTCAAAACAAACTTGCTTGGCCGCCATGCCATATTGAATTTTCCATTTTGACAGATGGATTGAATTGCCTAATAGAGTTTTTAATACGTATTTGGAAGTACCAGTCGTTCTAGTGACTTAACGTATGTCGGTTCTTGAATATACACAATACACAAATAAAATTAGGTTAGGAATTTCTTATACATGTATAAAGCTGGGTACGCATATGAGCACGAACGCGAATGAGGCAGCCCGAGGACGCATGAGCATACGTATGTGTACGTCTGAACGAGGCGTGCAAATTTCTTTGAACCCGCATGCATTTGGCCTCGACCCGATCCAACTGTGGCGGTACATCAAAGTGAGGCATCTGCTCGTGCGCTGCTCATGTGTGCTCAGTGTGGATGGAAATTTAAAAAAATTCATTTCGAGGTCGAGGCAGTCCACGTGTTGTTTTGAGATGGAAGCGATTAAAAATTTAAATTAATAACAACAAGAATGGTCACCACATATTTATGGATCGATTCCGTACAACGCCTCGTGCGTCCACTATTCAGGTCACCCAAAAATTTATTTCTTCCCGAATCCGAGGCAAATGTTTCGGCCTCGGATTGCCTCATTCGCGTTCATGCTCATATGCGTACCCAGAAATTAGGCATTCCAACGACCTGTCAAAACTATTCAAAAATGGCGATCGGGACGGAAGTTCCTTATTCCGTATATGACAGTATAGAATTTAAAGCTTTTTAAAGTGCATTGTGTGGTTGTTTTGTGACTAAACCATATTTATTTTTTTATTTTATTGACTTTATAAGGCTTTTTTCTAATTTAAAAAGCCACAAATGTCTTGTAGTTGATTTTAGAAGTCGTTTCAACAAGGATGATAGGTTGTTTTCAGTGCCCAATCTTTCAAAGGACCACGCACACCTTATATGGGATTTTGGCGATCGGTCGATCTTTTTCAAATTTTGATATGTTGTAGAGGATTTATTTCTTAACAACCTTTAAATGGGACGAAATCTTGTAGGTATTATGGTCTTTGAGATATGAGCGTTGAAAGATGAACTTTTTTGCGACTTTTTGTGTGGAGAGTATACGAAATACTTCTTCTTCTTCTTCTTCTTTAATAATGGCACTGCTCCTTTACGGGCAACTTGCCAGCTCATTCGTGGCAGGGTGACTTTGTCTGGCTCTCAGCCATATCAAACCCCGCGAATTGTTTGTAGAGTTCTGCTGTGGAGTAAGAGAACCGCCACCGGGGTTGGTTACCCGATCTTGGTTGATATGAGTATTGAATTGCTGTGTATTACTAATTTTAAGGGGTGAGGTGTTAACAAACAATACAACATAGGATACATACAATTGACACGGACAGCACAATCGATATTGGCTTGCTGAAAAAAGAAAGAAGACACTAGTTTCATAACTTTATTTTATTGTAGACAAGGAATTTCATAAGTAATCTGATTCTTGTTTCTGAGAGTTTTGATAAAATAAGAGACATATTTAAAGGAGGTTGAAGACCCGTTAAAACTATCTGCTGATAAATATCAAAATTGGGAATGAAATTGATTGGACACTCTAGGAAAATATGATCCAACGACTCTTCTCGACCGCATTCACAGTTCGGCTCCTCTTTGATGTTAATTTTATAGAGGTGAGATGATGTCAAACAATGACCCGTGCGCATTCTTATCATCGTTGTAATATATTTACGATTTACAAACTCGAAAGCCGTGAACCATTTCTTTTTGGGGAAGGAAGACACTATTCTTGAATAAAAAATGCCTTTAAATTTCAGTGAAGCCTGCCATAGCACATTGTGCTCCTCAATAATTTTCTCCTTTGCAATGCTTACTACCTCTGATCTGTCTAGGTCCATTTTCAATGGGACATTTAAAGCTGTGCCTATTTTGGCCAATTTGTCCACAGTCTCGTTACCCTCAATCTGTGAATGTCCCGGAATCCAGGCCACAGATATATCTGAGCCATTGTCATTGGCTATCAGAATTAGTCTTTTTGTTTTTAAAGACAAGTTATCCCTGCATGGGTCTAAGTCATTCTTGTCAATTTTCCCTATGGCTCCTTGGGAGTCTGAGAAGATGATAACATTTTTGATGCCCTTTTTCAAAACCACCTTCAATGCCTCATATATAGCAGTCACCTCCGCAGTACAAATACAAAGATTATTCGGGAGTCGGCATGAAAAATTATAATCAATTTGGGGAATGTGTATCCCAAATCCAACCCTAGAGTTATTTTTTGAAGCGTCTGTGTATACAAAGGTATGAGTATTTTTAAAAGCAGAGGTAGAAGCTAGGAAATTTTTGTTTTGAGAAATTTCACTTTTTTTTAGATTTAGGTCAATTATTTTTATCGGGTTTATCAAAAAGTCAGTCTTTATTTCAAATATGGGGTAATGATTTGATCTATATATTGTTTTAAAATGAGGAAGGAGGTAATTATATGCTTGTATTAGGTATGGTGATTCTTTATTTTTCCAGAAATTCGCATTTCTGGCACACAAGTTTCTTAGTTGTTGAATTGTACGAATTAAAGGGTGATCATTTATGACTATGATTTTGCTCAAAAATTTAACAGCAAGGATTTTTCTGCGGTGTTCTAAATTTATTTCTGCAGCTTCCGATAGAAGTGCGTTTGTGGGAGTGGATCGCATGCAACCCAAAGCTATTCTCAAACTTTGCATTTGAGCTGTATCCAATTTTTTAAGAAAGGCAATACTACAGGGTTTAATGAAAATTGAGGCATAATCCAAATGAGATTTAATAAGACCATTATGGACCATTAAAAGAGTTTTGGGGTCTGCTCCCCACC